TTTCTCCGCCTTGGTTTCGTCTCCCTGGGAGACCCTACGTCTTGGTGTGAGGCAAACTCGTGCCAAAGCTCGGGCTCGAGTCAAGCTTCCTGTGCCCCTTGCCCCGCACCTCCCGGAGCTGTGGATGCGGCCGGTTTGGGGGGCTGTTTTTTATACTTCTTTAGAAGACTGGAGTGCGCAACGGAGAGGAGACCCGGCTCTAACACCATCCTGAGGTCTTCCCACAGACTGGGAATTAGCGGTAGAAAGGTTCACTCCCTCCAGGTTCCGTAGCTCCATGTGCCCAGCCAGGGGACCACCACAGACTTTGCCCCAAGTTGGTTGGTTTGTGGCCTATTATGTTTTTATTTTGTCTAGGATTAGCGGGGTTTGAAATTTTTGTGGCCAGCCTTACCCTCCCGGGGCTTCAACTTTCAAACCAACAAGTCAACAAGAACGTTCCGGCGAAACAAGATCTTCTGGTTCGCTGCTGGGACGCGTGCGGGAATAGAAACGAAATCCTCCTCCGGTGGCGCCGTGCGGACTCCCGGGCCTGGGGTTGCAGGGCCGTTTCTGAAACCCGCGGGATTGGGCTTGGAATCGGATTTGACCCCGCCAGGGTCAAGGCCAGCACTTTGCTTTGATCTTTCCACGTGCCGAGATTGTGATCCTACGATCATTGGCCACAGATGATGCTTGCCCCTAAGCGACGTCCGCAGAAGCTAACGGGTTCAGCGGGGCTGCGCCTACGTGCCCAAATCAGAATCAAGTTTATGCTCGAGGTTAGGAGGACGTCGGTTACCTCGTGTGACCCGGGATGTGAGCTGTCTGCCCAAATCAAAGCTGGCTACAAATGCCCCCTCCCCCAAGAGTCTCAGGAGACCCGCGCCCCACAACATTCTCTCTTTCCAAACTCTGGGAAAACACGTGTCCCCCGTGCGGCTTCCTTTGGGCCGCACCTCCCAGAGGCCTCACTCTGACTGGGCCCTCCGGGAACCAAGGTCGCACCGCCTTGTCGCCTTGCCCCCCTCCCCCACCCCAACCTCTGACTAAGGGCTGGCCCCAGCAAGCCTAGGCCCACATTGTCACCAAGGTTGTGTCGGAGAGGGAGGAGGCCTGGAAAGGCGGGGGTTATCTGGATCCTTCTATTGGCACCCTAGCAGAAACAAAACTTCCTGGTGATGATAACGGGACACCTATGGCCGCTTTGAGGGGCAGGGGCGCGGAAGTGGAGAGGAGGAAAATATGATACAGGTAGATAAGTTGTGTGTGTGTAAGCAGCTTGCTTCTTAACTCCTCACCCCATCACCCCCAAAATCCAGCGCCTGACGGAATTGTCTATCTTTTCTTTACAGTATCAAACTCCCAGGGGGTGGGGCGGAGCTGAGGGCACACTGTGCCCCCCGAGTCAGCCTGTACCCTACAACTGTGGCAGCCGCACTTTCAAGGGCAGACGCGCCCACTCTGATTTGTGTTTGCTTGGAATATAAAGGATCCTGTTCACAAAGCGGCACCCACTTCCCTCTCCCATCTCCACCCCCTCTGAACATTTCCTAGAACCCCAAGCGCTTGGATTGTATGCATTGATTTTTAATATCCCGGCAGAGCACCCTAGATTTCACTGAGAGATTTTAAGACAGGGAGGAGAGGATGAAGTTAGGATTAAGTAAAAGGACTGGGCATTCTTTTCAGGGGAGGGCTAGAGATGAATTCAAAATTGAATGTGGATGAATTTGGAAGTGTTTTGAAATCTCATTTCCTTCAGGAGCTGTCTGCTTTAGACCAAAACTTATTGAAATTATCATGAAGGACAAGAAGCTGGGAGACTCTGTGAAACAAAAAGGTCAAAGGCTTGCAGGATACCCCTTCCCGCCCCCACACACCCCTCCTCAAATAAAGAAAAAGCAGCTCTCTGCTCAGCTCAGTGACTCAGTACTCCCCAACACTGTCACTGGGCTGCCTGAGTCCATCCCTAATAGTCCAATCCTTCAGAAAAGGGGTGACCCAAGACGAGCTGGGTTCCCCAAGTCTCTAGCGCAGTGTCTGTCTTCTGGGATGGATCCTGGGAAGGGCCTGTAGGAAACAGGCCTGGGGGTGAAGCCCGGACGCCTATAGCACCTTGCGAGTGTGGGGAGGAATGTTCAGACCACTCCTGGTCCTTCCAAGCCCGTCTACTGGTGATTATTTAAGGCCTCAAGTTTAAATTTCTCATCTTGATGTTAAAAAAAGGGGTGGGTAAGAACGTATCCCAAGGTTTGGAGTTATTTATGTATGTTCTCCATTTACTTTTGTTTGTAGGGTTTTCTTCTTTTTGTCTTTCCTTCCTTCTACCCCCTGCAGTGTTGACAACCTTGGAGGAGGTTTGGGGGGGAGGCTGAACTTGACCCATTTATTCTTATTAACCAGTCATAAAAGCAGCATAAATATGATAAATATGAACCCTCCACACTTACTAAGATCTTTTAAAATACGGATGGAGATTTTATATGTATATAGATATATATACATATATATATATGTATATGCATACACACACACACACACACACACACACACATCCATTTAGGTAGAAACTGATTAGGACTAAGACATCTCAGAAACTGTACTGGTAAACTAGCTAATCCTGTCCCTTTAAGAAAAATCCATAAAGCACTTCCATCAGCCCAGTGTCTGGGAAAGGAGCAAACTCACTGCTTGGAACAAAAGAGACAAAGAGGCCAAACAACAAAACAAACAAACAAGTCCCTCTCCCCCCCTCCAGACAACAATAGACTAGACGGAGCGAGTGCAGGGACTGCCTGGGCCGGCGGCTGCTGTCCACCTGCCAAGTCTCCCGCATTTGGCTGGAGACTTTCCCTCTCTCGCCCCACTCCCGCCCCACTCCCGCCCCTGTCGCCCCCCTCTCCCAGCCCTTTCTGTCTCTCTCTGTGTGCGACTCTCTCTGTGTCTCTCTCTTGGGGTCTGGCTATGTGTGTGTGTTTTGTCCCTGTTCTGCTGCTGCTTTCACTTGATGTCGCTCTGTGTATCAAGACCTCCATTCTCTCCCTCTCTTTCTCACCCTCTCTTTAAAGGCCCGCAGCATATTAGCATACTCTGGCATTTATTTATTTATTTGCTAGGCCTTTTCTGTGCATCTCCAAATAAGCCTGCCTCCTCCAGACTTGGGTCTCCCTGAGATGTCACGGTGGCCTGTTTTATATTTTGTTCGGAGTCCTCTTCGCCAGGAGGATCCCAAAGTCCATTTGCACTTCTGCTTTTCAGCATTCCCCCTGTTCAGATCTTTGCTCTTTTTCTATAATGCTTTTGGCACACGCACACACCCCCTCCTTGTCCCCACCAGCCCTTTCTCTGCTTCTTGGCTGCGGCTTGAGGCTCTCATGCATGCCTGCCTTCCCTTTCTCTCCCTCACTCTTCCTCTCTCTCCGGCAGCCATTATCAACCCCCCCACCACCACCGCGTGCCCCCTCCGAGTCCAGCCTTTTCCTTCCTCTTCCCTCCTCTCCACCAAACTTTAATAAAAATGCTGCAAACATTTTTGCCTGGGGAGTGCTTTCCTTTAGGGAGTGAATATAAACACTTGGAAAGTCAGGAGTGGAGAAAGGAGAGAATTAATATATGGAGACTGCAGGCAGCAGAGGCTTAGCCTGGAACAAGGGTCCCTCCCAACACCCCATCCTCTTCCACATGTTCCTCCCCCCCAATAAACCCTTTTGTGATAGCATTTCCTGAATCATCTGTGTCTGCTCCAGGGAGATGCAGGGAAAACCTGGCCATGGCTCTCCTCCACTGGGCAGCAGGTGACCAATGGGGAGGGAGGCTGCAGCCTCATCAGGCACATTCCCACCTTCCCAACCCCTCTCTCTACTTCCTCTGAGGAAAAACAAAAAACAAACAAACAAACAAACGTAGAGGCCCCGGGCAACGAGGGGTTGGCGGTGGGCATGATCTGTGATTCCTCTTTCAGAGAAGTATAGAGAAGCTTCTCCAAAGCTGGTTGTCTCTCAGTAAAGGAGGAGATTTCAGTTATCAAGAAGTTGTGGGTAAAACAGAGCTGAGCCGTTTATCTAAAACCCACCAGAGAATTCCCACAGGGGCGTGGTAGGGGGTTTGGCAAAATGGTGGCATCCTCACCTGACCTGACCTCTGCCCGCCCCCATACTCTTTGCCCAGTAAACAACAGAGAACCTGGACCAGCGATCTCCCTCAGCCCTCACCCTTCCTCTTTTCCTCCTTTCTTCAATACCATAAGAACGAAGCCAGATGAAAACAACATTAGGGGCAACTCTGAAGAGAGGAAAATCATTTATAGTCTGAGAAGAGCACAAAAAAACAGAGATAGGAAATTTACCCTCATTGTTTGGTTGCTTAGCGATAGGGCAGTGTTGAGAAACGCTTAAGTAACCAAAGACACCTATCCACAGACGTATACACAAGTGTCCATGTAGGTACGTTTAGCTGGTGGTGACTAGTTGTCAAGAGGAAAAGGGAAGAATTTTGAAATCAGGTAAACTTGGATGGAATATAACCTGGCTACTTACTAGCTAAGCAATTATACCTACCTCACAGCGGTGTTCTAGAGATTAAGTGGGATTGCATATATGAGAAAGCCAAAAGCAATGTCTGGCAAGCTGTGTGTGCTCAATAAATGAGTGCCCCTTCCCTCCCTCTGTTCCTCCCTCCCTCCTTCCTTTCTTTCCTCCTTCCCTCCTCTCTCCACTGGCTTCCTCCCTGGCTAGCTTCCCAAGGTGCAAGCAAAGTGGAAATCATCCAAATTGCCCCAATTTCCAGATCCCAAGGGAAACTTGACTTCCCTCTGAGTCCCAATATTGGACAAGTGCAGACCACACCACAGCCCACTAATTCTGTGCCCAAATACCACCAGGGATCATCCGTTCTTGGATGGAATTATTTAGATCCATTAGTCCACTCCCTCCTCTAGAGTCTTTCTATCAGTTAAGGGGGGAGAGAACTCTTACCCCAAAATCCAACCACTTCCATGTTTTTAGTTGAGACTGTGTGCCCGGAAAGTCTCTGTTTGAGGGAACGTATTAAGAATCACGTCATAGCCAGAATGCCTAAGGGAGAAGCAGAAAAGAGTATTTTCTAATAGAGTATGGTCCTGACCCATAACTTCTCAATAGGGAATGCTGTTTTCTTGGTATTTTGACCTTGTCAAAATGACTGATTTTTTTTTCCCCCCTCCAGAGGAGTCACTCTCTACCTAAGCTGTTTCTCTCAAGAAGTGTTTTTGGGACACTTCAGTGCATCTGGAAGCGTTCACTGGTGGCAGTGTCTTGTCCTGGCCTTCCACCAGTGACTTGTTGCTGGGACTCCTTCTCTTTCTTTCTCTCTCCCAGAAGCTGAACCAGGTTGTCACAGCAGCAGGCTAGCCTGTGACCCATGCCTGGGCCCCCAGCTTCCGTTGGTAAGAGAGTGAACACATAAAAAATGTTCCCACCTTACACTTCCTTTTTCCCCGAGTCTTATTGTCTATTCTACAGATATCCCATTTCCACATTTCACCAGCTTCCTGGACATTTTCCTGTGTTCGCCCAGCCTTAACAACCATGGAGAGGCGCTGATCCTGGAGCATATTTGGGGAGGGAGGTTGATCCCTACGGCCCCTCCCTAAGGCTTTCAGTCATCTCTTTGCTCTTCTCTCTTTTCCCCTGATTTCATCATGAGGCCTCTACTACTTATGACAAGGATGTGGAAGACTGTTGGGTCTTTCTCCCTCTTCGAGTGTTCTAATTTCCACGTAGTATCTTTCTGTGAACTACAGAGAGAGTCCTCTATCCTTCCTGGAAGCACAGCTTCTCACTGCCGATGGCAGCCCTGGTGTGGTGTACCAGGTCCCGGGGGGGGGGGGGGGGACAGTGAACGTCCCACAGCAGCAAACATGAGCACTGTGAATCCCCCAGTTCTGACAGGTGTGAGTGTTGCTGGGCCATTACTCCTTTAGAGATGTCTGCTTAAAATGGAGGAGGCCACAAAGTGCGACATCAGAAGACTAACAGCCTCTGAAACCTTCCAAAGTCTTGTCTTTGATTCTCCTTGGGCTCTTGCTCAGGCAAAAGCCTGAGATTATGTTTCCTTATTTTGTCTTTGACCTACATTCTTCATCTACTCAGGCTTCATTGTCATACCAGCGGCAAAGGGACAAGTGGGTATTAGTGTGGAAATAGCAAACCCCGTAGAGCCTGGTAGGTCCTCTGTCCTGTGCTTGCCTTTGCTTCCAGTGGGCCAGCTTCTCTACTGAACCAGTAACTCCCCTTAGGGCTGCCTGAGAGCCTTGAGGTGGGCACTACTGCCCCCCACAGTCTGAGTCTGGAAAAACTGCCCGTGTCAGTACCCGCCACTGGGTGCAAAGATTCCAAGTGACATCGTTCTGAGGTGACGATGTAATTCGCCATCTTCACCAGGGAAAAGTCCTAAGGGCTGTCGGTTTCCGGTCTAGGAGAAAGGTTTGCTCCCGCATGCTAAGTGACAGCAGCTCTGTACTGACCCAATTCTACAGAACAAGAAACCTCCCAATTTAGGAGCCTTTGGAAAAACACTTCATCGTCTGAGGTGGCTCTCAGCTCCGGCTGCACATTAGAATCACCTGGGGAGCTTTAAAAAATTGCCAGGGCCTGGGCCTCTCCCCAATCCAATTAAAAATCTGACTTTCCAGGGGTGTGGTGCGGGCATTGGTATTTTTTTAAAGTTCCCCGGGGTGATTCTAGTGTTTAGCCAGGGTTGAGAAGGGCTAATACGTAGGTGGGAAGAACAGGGCATCGTGGTGAATAATGCTCTTTCCTTTAACGAATACGTAAAGAACTCCTACTACAGACAGTTTGCTGAAAACAAATAGATGAAATTGATGCAGTAACCCACAGGGAGCTCTTTGTTCCTACCCAGAGCGTGAGCGCGGGACAGGAAGTTCAAGCCCCAAGTTCCAGTTCAGGTTCTATCACTAATGAGGGGAGTGACCTTGGACAAGTCTTTAGACCCTAGTCTGCTCATCTGTAAATGGAAGTGTCTCGAAAGCAAACTATAATTTATGTTGGTGTCCTCTAGCCTTACGGTGTATTGCCAAATTCTCAGAAACCCATAAGCTTAGCCAGGCAATTACCAAATTCTTTTGGAGGCTGGCTCCCTCCACTCATGCATATTACTGACAACCGTCCTTCTGATGTTCCACCAAATCCCTTTCCAAGAACCCTAAGTATCAGAGTGTTAATTTTTAAATAATACTGGGCTCCCTTAATTCTCTCCCCTGGTCTCTTACAAATTAGCAGATGAAGGGACTGGAGTAGTGGTAATGTCTATGAGCAGTGGGTAATGACTAACAGAAGTTTATCCAGTTGGATAAATGTCTAGTGGATTGCTGCTGGGGTCAGTGTTAGTTCTGGTCTTAATTAACATCTTCATTAATAGTGTGGGAGAGGGAATAAACAATAGCTAATGATATTTGCAGATGGTAGTAAATTCTGAGGTGTTGCTACTACCAGTGAGAGCAGCAGGAGCCATGGGGATATCAGAGATGTGAACAAGAAGTGATTATAATGATGTTTGTTCTGGAAAAGGCAGAATGAAATGTTTCAGGGGCGGGGGGAGGCGGGGAATGACAAGGGATACTGAGAGATGCTGAGAGGAATAAACAACGGCTATCGTTTGTAACTTGGGTGTGCATTTGGCAAATGAGGCGGCCGATGACCTCGCAATTTCTGTTGGGCACCCTGAGATGTTGTCCCGAACAACAATAATCATGACACCGACGATCACGGTAATAATACCCAACACTGACTCAGAGCAGACAATATGCCAGTTGGGGTTCTAAGTGATTTATATGGAGGCGATTTTTATTCCTGATATTTTAATCACCATAGAGTTCTCCTAGGCTCTCTAAAGATTCTGACAGCGGCCTTACCAGGATTCTTGGATTTCTAGGGGTGAAAAGACATATGAGCTCATGGGAAAATGAGGAGTATGAAGAGGTATGGGCAAGGAAAGTGGAGGATGTGACGTGGGCTCTTTCCCCAGGCTCTTGAGTAGAATTTCTCTTTCCACCATTGATTCTTCCTGTCCCCAACCCACCTGCCATCCTTTTCTCTCATGAAGCCATTGCTGGATTAACATGGTTGGTGAGGGTAGACGGAAACATCTTGCAAAATGGAGGAAGGAAGGAAGGAAAGAGGGAGGGCAGGAAGGAAGGAAGGAAGGAAGGAGGGAAAAGAAAGAGAAAGAAAACTAATGTTTCTTGCAGCCCTATCCTGAGTCATGAAGTAGTTGTGGCAGGAGGTGTTAAACTTCATACACTGCACAGATTTTCTTGTTTAACCTTTACATGTCTAATTGTCACAATGACTCTCTCTCATAGTTGTTGACTCTCACTCCTATTAATGAAAGGAAAGACTCAGAGAGGTTCGGTCACCGACCATGAACACACAGCCTATTGATCGAGTGGAGGTTCAAACTGCAGTTGGTTTACTCCTAAACTCATGTCCTCTCCAACCATGAATACATAATTTCTCTTCTTTCATTTCAGCCCTGCCTGGTTAATGACAACATACAGCCACACATAGAGAGCCAGAAGGTAGAAATATTAAGAGGAGAATAAACACTGAGGAGCAGAGGGATAAAGGGAAAGTAGCCAGTATACGCATCCGCTGCCCAATTCAATGTGATTGAATTATTTATAATTATATTTTGAAATTAGGAAAAATGGAATTTGCAAACAAGAAAGGCTTCAAGACAATGGAACCCATAATAATGTGGATTTGACCTTGAGGGAATTTGGCAGAGAGCATTAGTATCTGAGACAAAAGTAAACTGAGAAGAAAAACATTTGAATGCTATAAAAGCCAAGACTCTTCTTGGCAAATGTGAAGCCCAGGGCCAGATGGATGCCAAAGGTCTTCAAAATTATATCAAAGGAGCTTTAGGAAGTTGGAAACATGTGGCCTGGGTGTGCAGCTCCCCCCTTCCCCAACCCCGCTATGAAAGGGGGCTCCAAATGCCAACTCAGAGTTAGAATGAGGAACTGAGATTTTTAAACTGATGAAATATACATTTCAGAGTAGATACATAAAAGGTACATACAGTTCAAAGAATAAATATAAAGCAAACACCATTGTAAACATGACCCAGGTCAAGAAATGCAACATTCCCAGGACCTCAGAAGTCCCCTCCCTGATTTTTCTTGTAATCATTTCTTTGCTTTTATTTTTAAAGTTTTCTTTTTTTTTATTTTAGTTTTAGCAGTTATGCAGGTCTGTTTTTGAACTTTATATAAATAAAATCATACTGTATGTATTCTTTCAAGATTTGCTTTTTTCTTTCAACCATATGTTATATGTAAAAGTAAACTACAGTACATTTAACCGCTCTACCTTTGCGGGGACTTTTGGTTATTTCTAGCTTGGAGCATTCAAGAACAATTTTGATGTGAACGTCCCATACACGTGACCTCATCATGCAGATGTGAGGGAGTTTCCCTAGGGAGGGGTGAGGAAGCTATCATCCTCAGGCCAAAGAGATCCCATTGCTTTTTGTATGACTTACCACCTAAGAACGGTTTCAGTGTTTTCAAATGATTGAGACCAAAAAAAAAAAAAAAAAAAAAGGAAAAATATCTTATGATGTGTAAAGATAATATTAAATTCCAATGTCAATGTCCATAAATACAGGTTATTGAAACACAGCCGGGTTCATTGTTTAAATATCATGGATGGCTGTTTTTGTGTGACACGGAAAGAGCTGGGTGGAGGCATCCGAGACTCACCGTATGGCCCACAGAGCCTTAAACCTGAGCGATGTTCTGGGCTTTGTGAATGCACAGGCTCACATTTGGTCCCTTTACAGAAAAGGACCCTGCTCTAGAGCATAGTCCTAGAAAGGGAAATTATAAGGACCTTAAGTAAAAGAGGATGCTAAATGAAAAAGTCAGCACAATGAGGGGTAACTTGCAGGAGTTACTATGAGTCTGAGACTCCTTTCCCTCCCACCTTCCACCCGGGCTTCCCCCGCCTCCAAGAGGTCAGTTGGAAGAATCCCTTTCCAAAAAAGTCAGATTGTCAGCTGGCAGTCAGTT